ATTCAAAATAAAAATACCATTAAGAAAAATAACATGAATTAATAAGATTGATTGACTATGATATACTCAAAACTGTGTTTAATATATATCAGTTTTAAAATAAATAAAAACATACACACATAAATAAAACACTAAATCCTAAATAATAATATTAATTTTAATGCAGGTATTCTATACATTTATTTCTAATCAAGTTGTGCCATAACATTACAAATCACAGGAAATAAAGTGACCAAATATATATCCTCAAATTGCAGCATTTAAAAGGAAATTTTCAATTAAAACTGCATCACTATTTAAAGTTCAGTACACTATCTTTCGAAAAATATATGTAATATTCTAAATAAATTCAGAATATAAGTTAAAAACACTTTAATTTTAAACCTCACTATGTTAAGTCTATGACACCCTCGCCACCCAGAGACCCGCAATTGATTGTTTACAATCAATGCCCGTGCGCCATAAAACCACGTTGTGAGCCAAATGGCTTTAAAATACACAGGAAACAGCAACCTGGAAGTATAAGCAGGCCCACAGCTAGCAGCGCTCCCTAGTGTCGAAAACACCATCCATAACCTGAATCAATATTATGCATGATTCAATGGTAGTAATTTTAAATACCAGATTGAAGAAAGCAGAACAATTTATTACATTACTAATTTTGATAGCTTTACCAATATAGAATCTTAATTAACCACTTTACCACCAAAAAGACAGTCTAGTCTATACAATTTCATTTATCCTTTCCTTGTCAAATGAATATTCAGAGACTAATAAATAAAGTATCTTAGTAAAACTTAAATTCACTCAATAGAAGTAAATAGTTTGCAACTGAGAGTTTTAATCAGGAAGAATAAAAATACAACACTCTAAATATTTAGCTACTTTCTTCAAAATTTTATTTTATTAAGATATATATAGGATGTTTAAATTTAAAAAAAAAAAAAAAATATTCTAAAATTGTCTCGTCATAAAATTTTCTCTCCATAATTTCATAATTGCCTTCAAATTTACTTCCCAAGGAAGATAATCATTAGCCTATCAAAAACTTTAGTGAAAAAGAATTGAAAATGTTTTTTTTTTTATCAGCAATATATTTGTAAAGATATTTTAAAAGCTCCAGACTTTTTGTTTAATCATTGCATTTTTTTATGAAACCTGTATTTATTTTATATTTAAAAGTATGTAACTGTTAAACTGTTGTGCTACAAAGGGTAAACATGTCCGAAAATTAACTATCCAATCCTATTATTTCTATCTGCAGGAAAACAACCATTTCCTACTATGAGAACAAAATTGACTGTTGCTACAATTCAATAATTATGATTTTTATAATTTTAATGTATTCTTTTCACTAAATTTTGAAAATAAAATATTCATGATTTCATTTATTATATAAGCAATAAATATGAAAAACACACCTTTTTTAACAATCACAATGTTGCCATAGATGAAAAATAAAAGAAAAGAAAACCTACCGAATTTCTAAATCCATAATTATTTCATTTCGTGACACATTTTCTTGATAAACTTTAATACCACCAATCCTTGGGGGCTAAAAACAAATATGAATGGTTTTTAATAATTGTACAGAAATATTTTTAAAAAGTAATCGCTAAAATATGCAATTTCAATATAATAAGAGAATAAAATATAAAATGAATCAATGAGTTGGTTATAAAAATTATCATTTAACATTTACAATGAATAGGTATGATTAAATTTAAAATTTGATTTAAAAAAAAGTTTGCATAAAATATAACATAAATTCAAAATGTGAAGCATCAATTTGTTATGATCACTTTAATTTCTACACTTTACACTTTAGACTTTCTCACACTACACTTTAAGACTTTCTGAGAATGTTTAATTGAAACACACATTTAATTTTTAAAAATGTTAGTTATGCTCAGGTTCTATGAAAACACAAGATTTTGAATATCCAGGACAAATTTTTTTTTAGAAATCACTATATTATGAATTGGAAAGAAGCATAACTATTTTTTTTTCTTATGAAATTCGATAATGATAATTGATATTTGAAATTTAATATTATCAAAAAATAAATAAAGTAATAAAAAATATAGCATTTCGTTAAGAGTTCTACAAAGTCTTAAGAGTCTATAAGCGATTTGTTATTTTCAGTTATATGCTTTAAACAATACATTCAAGAACTGTAACACAGAATCATCAATTATTCTGTGCATTGTTAGCACTTACTCATTTTAAGTGTATCATCAGTTTCCATGTATTTTAAGCATATTCATGTAATTCAAAAGAAACGAAAATACCCACTGCATCTTTTGGCAAAGGATTGGCTAATTACTACTATTACTGGCTAATTACTGCATGTTTCACAGATTGCTATTCTTTTATTCTATATTCTAACTTAATCACGGTATGAAATCAACCCACGATTGCTGGAACTTATGTTTGGCCTTTTGCTTGTGAAACATTGCTGTTCTGTACCAGAACATTTTACATGGGTGCTTTAATTGAAGTAAGCAGATCAAAAATTGGAACAGAATGCATATTTTGAAGTCATCTGAATTAATAAAATGTTTCTTAAATGAAAATGTTCAGAAATTTTGGATCTAAAAAATATTGCTGCATGGCAACTAGATGGCTGAAATTTTGCAAACTCAGACTTACTCTTCACTTCATCATAACTATAATATATTTTATAAGTTTAAGGCAAGCATAATATCAATATTTCTTTCAAATATTGAACAGAATTATTTTTTACCATTGCTTTCCAAATCAAATTAGGAAGCTTCATAAAATTAAAGGACTTATTATGAATACCATGAATGAAAAAATATACAGTAAATTCGCGATAACTCGAATCTGATAGGACTGATGAAAAACTTCGACAAATCAGAAGTTCGACATGTCGTTAGTTTCGGTTTTGGACTTTCAAAATACTGTCGGATTATTTAATTAATGCTTATTAATTACAAATCTTCTAAATGCTTACAATATTTGAGATCATTTTTCTGACAAGCCATTTACGATAAGACTGTTTGAAGCACTTCATGATACCCTGGTCCATCGGCTGCAACTTTGCTGTTGCGTTTGGCGGGAGAAACTGCAAGTTTACTGTTTTCAAATTAGGTAGATCACTATGTGCTGTGCATTTATCCATAAAGAGTATCACTTTTCTTCTTTAACCAAAAATTTCCGATCAAATTTTCTTACATAGTCTTCAAATAAAACTGATGTCATCCAAAACTTTTTGTTGGACTTGTAATCCAAAGGATACGTTTTTACATTCTTGAAACATCGGGGATTTCGGTATTTTCCGATAACAAATAAGGGCAATTTCTCTGTTCCAGACGCATTCCCTCCAACTAGGACAGTCAAGCGTCATTTTACCCTCTGAGCAGTTTCCATCCTTAAACATCATAGTCTTATTTGAAAGACATTTAAAAAATAAACCCATTTCATCAATATTGAAAATATAATTTTAACTGTATCCTTGAAGTAAATTTGGTAACGTTTCATTTAACCACTGTTCACATACTTCAAGAGGGACAGCTTTAGCTTCTCCATGAAGAGTGCGAAAGACATTGTGTGTGTGTTGCAAGGGAAGGGGCAAGATATCAGCTCCTAGGTTTTTTTTTCTTGCTTTAAAAGATCCAAAAAAAATCGAGTTAAAGGGAGTAAAATTCTAGTAATCGAGAATAATTAACATGAAATTGAAGATAAAATGGTCGGGACCTCACAAAAAAATCGAGTTATAGTAATATTCGAGTTATCGTACTTCGAGTTATAGCGAATTGACTGTATAAACAGCTAATGTAAGAGGATAAGAGTTAATATCAGTAAACGAAAAATGCTTTTGAGAAACAATTGGCTGAACAAAAATTTCCAAGGATAAAAGTATACAAAAATTAACAAGCTCATTATTACCATATCTCCAAGTAAAATTTTTTCAAATCTGAAACTTTTCAGGTATGAAGGCAATGCATCTCTAATACTAGGTTCCATCGTTTCTTTTAGCATTTCCTTTACATATGTTCCAACATAGGGCCACATTTGTCTTAAAATCTATATTAAAAATCCAAAGTTAGCATCTGTTTACAAATTATCTGTTCTGTAAGTGAGTGTCTGTTTAGATGAAAGTTAATGTCTGTTTACAATTAAGAAAACTTAATGGTAAAAGTTTTTTCTGAGTCATATATTAAAAAAATTAAAGAAATTATTTACTAAAATGCAGCTACAGTAAGTTAAAATTATTTCAATACATTAGAAATCAAGACTGTGCTTTAACAAAATAGTTTCTATACTTTGATAGAGCATATTTTAGAATTTACCTCTACTTGTTTATAAAATTCATAAGTCATAATACAGTTTGACATCATATTTTTTTCCTTACTTACATTATTCTATTTGTTCTTAACAAACATGGGTGATCTTATAAATAATGTTGACACTAAACTCGTGGATAAAATGTACTAATTTTTTTAAAGCCTTACAAGGATCAAGGAATTATTAAATGACTAAATCCAAGCTACATATTCATATTCTTTAAGTCCAATATTCGGAGATTCTTTTTACTAAATGCTATTTAAAAAAAACTTACATCTTTTCATTTTTCTATAAGACCTGGTGAGCAGAAAGAGAGGGAGATTTGTTTAGTTTACTAGGAAATAACTTGACTGAATCTCCCCTTCCTCTAGTGATATCAAAACAAGTGAAGCAACTGGCACAAAAAAGATGCATTTCTGACAGCCCCTTTGCAGAAATGTCGACATAGGACATACATAATACGGTACTCAACCAACTCTATTTTAAAAATGCTAAGTTAAAATTGCTAGGAAATGTATAAAACAGTTCAAAATAAACTTATAGTAAACATATGTTATAATTAGTTTCAAAATCTGTTGAATTCGGTTATATTCAGTAACAAGTGCTCAGCATGACAGCCCGGATCAGACTACAGAGCTGAGACTCTTTTCAGTCTGTCTAGCACGTTCCAGATCTTTCCGCCTGTATCAATCTGCATGTTCCAGATCATTCCACCTGCATCAATCTGCACCTTCCTGTTTTCCTCCACACTAGTGACACCTCACTCAGCACTTTTATGTTCCTCTGCTTCATTAACCTTTTTGAGTTAGGATCACTACACCCTTCATTAGACTGTTTACAGTGACAGTACAACTAAAAAAAAAGACGAGAGATCCAAGGTAAATTAAAATAAAGAAGGCCTTCTTTTCTTTCTTAGGTGAGTAGGAAGAAATGTGTAGCCTAATGAGGTGAAACTTTTTTATGAATTCATGTTCCTCTAAGTTTATAATAACTCCAAGATACCCTCAAACCAATAAGATTGAATCTTAGTACAAGATAATCTGATCATTAGATCAAAAGTTATTCTGAGTGTTAATTTTTCTTGAACACTGTCTCTGTATACCCTGTTTAATGGGTATTTAACTACCTCTCCAATATCAACTTTTTTGTATACAAAACAAAGTTAACAAGTCAAATAAAAATTTTATGAACATTTATTAGCAGAGTATTTTCTCTAAAAGTGATAATAAGAGAAGCAAAATAAATAAAAAGATAAAATTGGTTATCCAAAAGTGAAAAAAGTTGAAGGACTTAAGATTATACCTTGTTTACCCATTCTGCTCTTTCAGTTTCAGGAAAAAATACCTAAAAGAAAAGCCAAAATAAAAATTAGAAAATCAATCAAATGCTAACATCTATTTAAAATCATATAACACTATCAGCAGTGTACAGGGCTCCACAAAAAAAGAAAAAAGAAAGAAACGGAACAGCCTGAATAACTTTTGATCTAATTATCAGATCTTCACATTCTAGGACACATTCGTAATGGCTCACGGGGGTGATCTCAAATATGCTAATTAATTAGGGCAGACAATATTTTAAGTTACTAAATAAGACACAAAAACTTACTTTCTCTGAATAAGCATTCATATTTTTTCATCAGAGTCGGGTTTCTGACCCCCAAAATATTGAGGGTATCTGCAATCTGGGAAATATGGTCCCTATAGTTTGGTTAGGAGAGCAATCCAAGGTTTGGATCCTTTAATGTTACCTTTACTTTTTGCGTATTTCGCCATATCTCGAGATGTTTTTAAACTAATTGAACAATTTTTACACCTAGCCATTAAATTTTTTTAGCTAAAGATAATTCCATACAAAAAATTAATTTCAGTAAATATTTATTGTTTTTCATTATATAATTTAATAACAGTTGAAAAATTTTGAATTGTAAGGTATAAAAAATTTTACGTCATTTTAAAGTATTTAATTTTACATGACAAAGTACAAAATTTGAGCAGAATCGGTTAAATAGGACCTTAGAAATCAAATTTTAAAGAAATGGTATATTTAATAATACTTAAAAATGACGTAAAAAATTGCATACCTTACAATTCAAAATTTTAGGCAATTATTAAATAAAATAATAAAAAATAATAAATAATTACTAAAATTAATTTTTTGCATGGATAAAAGAATTTTATAATTGGGCGCGAAAAGTTTCTAACTCGCTAAAAAAATTCTTGAGATATGGCAAAGTATGCAAAAAGTAAAAATTAACATTAAGGAGTTCAAACTTTGGAACGTTTTCCTAATAGAACTATAAGAACCATATTTCCCAGGTTGCAGCTACCCCCCTATATTTTGGAGTCAGAAATCTCGAACTGTTGAAAAAAAGGTATGTTTATTCAGAGATAGTACGTTTTTGTACCGGATTTCATAACTAAAAACATTGTCTGCACTAATAAATTAACATATTTGAGGTCACTCCCTTGAACCATTAAGATTGAGTCCTAGAACATGAAGATCCAATCATTAGATCAAAAATTATTCAGGGTGGTCTGTTTTTCTTTTTCTTTTGGCATACTATATGCAACCAGCAACTTTAAAATGGTCAGTATGCAGTTTCCAACCAAAAGTTAGGAGGAAAACATGTTGCCAATGAAAAATTTAAAATAAAGGTGAGAAAGCAATTAAGAAAAACCCCAGTAATGAAACAAGATTAAAAATGAAAAAATGGAACAAGAAAAACAACTGAGACTGAGAGTGATGGGATAAAAAAATATTTTTATGCAGTATGAAGAGGGAGTGTGGAACTAATGTAGTAAACAAGGGAATCAGAATTCATATGGATGAAACATGATTCCAGGGCATCAAGATGATCTGATTTGATTGGTGTGAAAATAATTTGATCATTATAATGGCATAATTTTGGCATTGATCATAGACATATGGATCATGTTCCTGAAGTTTAAATTTTAAAGCATGGTTGGTTTGGACTCATACCCGGACTCATTTTTTTTCTCAAGACCCGGTTTCAGGCAGCATTCTATTGACACATAATAGACAACAGTTGCAAACTAAGCATAAACATTTTCGTACAAATTACAAACTAATTATTCTAATACTACTACTAATTTAACATATTTAATTATAGATAAATTATTTTAGTAAATAAAAGCACATATATTTAAATTCGATATATTTGTTTTAAAATATTTGATAAATAAATGTTTTGAATGTAGTTTTTTATTTTAAAAACAAAAAAAACTTTTAAAAACTTTTTTTTTAAATTTTAAAAACTTTTTAGTGTTATATAACTCAATGAAAAGCTACTAAGGAAAAATTTTATTACATTTTCAATATAAGTTGATTCATGTTTATATTGAAAAGAAGTCATAGCTACCACCCATAGATAGCATAGACATCATCGATAGCTACCATCCCCACACACTTATGAATAAATTGTCTAACGGTAACAGTAAACTACTCCTTAGCTCAATAAATTCATTTTCTAACCAGCATGGTTAAAGTTCTCTTACTGCCGGGCATTCTGCAAAATATAACTTTAATGCTTAAAATTACAACTTTTTTGTTACAGGCTATCTGTCTTACTGTACAGGAAAAAAAGTCACAAAATTTTTCATGAAAAATAATGGATGTCATAAGCTAATTAATTCAGACAGTTTAAGATTACAAGCGTATATCAAAAAATGAAACTAACACGATATAAAGTTTTTCTTTCTCTTATAAAGACCGTGATAAAAATTTAATTCTAAAATAAGATTTTAATCATTAAAAACTAAGTCATATTCTCAATACTTATTTCTTATAATTCAAGAACTTAATCAAATTGAAAAATGTATATTTATCAGATATAAAAGTATGAGAAATGAGATAAAGATTAAAACTAAAAATACATTCGCGTAAATCTGTATTATATATCCAATTATGCCAAAAATGTAATTTTTTTATTTTGAAGATACATGGTGAATAGTTTGCAATGTCTCATTTATAGAAATTACAAAAGATTGTTACTTACTTAATCATGATGAGTAATTTTAGAAACTTTCTGCATCATTGCAAAATAATCTAATACTTAAAATTATTATTAAAAAAATATTTAAAAATTGCAAACAGGGATCATAGAACAAACAGTGTCTGTAGGATAGCATTAATTAATGACATAATCAATATCTATTGCATCCTTTTCCTTTTGATATTCAGGGCCTTTTTTGGTTCAGGGTCCAGACAAACTTTTTTTGATGGAGGGTTACAAAAATTTAAGAATGCCAGGATCGGGACCAACAAAAGAGAAGTAAAACTGTAATCATAAAAATGTAAAGTGTATTTAGATCGTAGTTGAAAGTAATGTGTATATATGTAGTAACGTATAAAATTCATAAGAAATTACATTTTCCTGCAAATACTGTAGCCATAAACGTGAAAAACGAAATGGTTATTATAAATCAGGCTTGCACAAAGACAATTAGAACAGGGTGGCCAATAATAAAAAATAAATTTCTAATACAGTGGTATTTTTTTCCAAAGCTGAATTAAAAGTTTTAGATATTCTTTTATTAAATAGATTTTCTTTTATGTATGTTTTATTAATATTTAAAACTGTTCAAGGCACAAGTTTTAAATTTAAGGGGTCAGTTTTGGCTCATAGGTTGTGCATCCTTGAAGTATATGGTTAATTGAAATGATAGTGAGATCTATGGTTAATAGATTTATTGTACTGCAAATTACAATATACAGCTTCTTAATTGACTATGACTGATATTTACAAGAAACTTTATGCATAATAAAATCAATCTAATTCAAACTTAAAACTAAAAAGAAAAAGAATATTTGCCTCCTTTTCTCTCCCTTTCTATAATTATTTTCCACATTATTCAATGTTAAGGCTGAAGACAATAGAGGCTTTTAATTATTTGGGGATATTTCCGTATCATGATCTGTCACGCCAACTGCAATCGCCAAGGTGTCAAATAGATTTTAAACTTACAATTTTAAAAAAAAAAGCAAGTAGAAGTTTACCCGGGGGTGGCTACAAGTTATACCTTTCGAGTTAGTCCCTTTTTGTCATATTTTTTTGTATCCTGCAGGCCGCAGCACGGAAGTTGCCAAGACTAGACGATTATTCTTCCCCGGATCACAATACGGTAATCTCCCCAATTCTTTGACAATGGTATAGTAAATAATACGTTTTGCACTTTTTTTTTTCTTTTGCACTGTTGCCTCAACTATTTTTAACTGCACCCTTTATGCAAAAATATTACTGTAGGAAAAGTATAATGTACTCTACTTTTTCCAGACAATAAATTCGGACATATTATCAAATATAAATTACTAATCTCGTTAAAGCAGTCCATAACACATCTAACTCATGTTAGTAAATATACTAACGATTTTAGTAAGCAAACAAATGCATTTTACATTTATTTTTTCAATTCTTACCCATGAAGGCAAGTCTTTTAGAGTAGCTAAGATGCATTCTTTTTCATTCAAAGAGACAGATCGCTCGACAGTCAGTCGGACATCTCGTTCGGTCGAATAATTACTTCTCATCATCCAAACAGAAACAATAACTCCTATACCCACACAAAACATAGAAGTTGCTCCAAATCCAGAATGACCAAATAAATATGCTCCATAGGTTAATGATATAAAGCCTCCAGCGGCAGCATACATGTTTAAACGTAAAACAGATCTCGCTGATTCAATTACTTCACCCATTTCTCGAACAGAGCTGTCTGCTATTTCGGACACAATTTTTTCCTTTGTTTCATATTTGTTCGAGGCAGAATCTTTAATTGGAGATTTTGAATGATCAGTAGACATATTTAATTCTTTTAATTGAACTCACGAATTATATAAAGCGAGAAGGGTTTTTTTTTCTTCTAAATAAAATCTCAACTTACATGAACATATTTAACCTGAAAACTAAACCAAATATGAAACTAATGTACGATTACAGTCAAAGTGACCGGCTCGTTTTGCCAGGATAAACAAACAGGTGAGGACAGCAAGTGCTATTCCAAATTCCAAAAAATGCACAAAATTTCACTTTTTTTTTTTTTCCTTTTTTTTCTAAAGTCTACAAAAATAAAACCACTTATGTTAAATAGTATTGTATTTATAAATAAAGATTTCTTTTTTTATTTGGTTAATGTATATTTTTCAATATATAACGTTAAAGAAGCAGGTAGGTACTTTATTAACGTCACACTAGAGGTATTGTCGAACATAATGGAAACATGATGGATAATCCAAAGACATGCCATCGCAATTTCGTTCCTATGCAGAGGGGATAACTCCTCTGCTTTGGTAGCCTGACCAACTGCATGCGGAGTCGAGCACTTTGAGCTTTGAGGTACAACAGTTTAACGAGGACTAATACCGCGCACCCTCGGTCCCTGCGCAGTCTGATCAAAATCGTCACCCACCTGCACACTGACAGCAGCCAGTGATGCTTGACTGCAGTGTTCTATTGGGAACAGTTTCTTTGCAATCAGTTCACTGGGGGACCGGTAGGGAAGTATTTTTCATGCAACTATAACTAAATATACTCAAAAGATCGATTACGTTCAGACTTGATTTATCATAAGGCCTGAGAAGGCCAGGGCCCAGGAACCCTACATCTGGGGGTCCCCTAACTGATACAAACATTTTTTTTATCATTTCTTTTGCGTATTTTTCCTTTACAATTGTCTATTAGAATTATGAATTTTAATTAAGTATAAGCACAAATTTACACATGTACTATAATTTACTTAGTTATAAAAGTTTAAAAGCATTTTGTAACTGAACAACATGTAAATTTGAGAACTAATGGGGGCCCCACAGTTTTACGCCTATAGGGCCAATATAATTCTAAATCAGGCCTATACGTCACGAGTGTTGTTATCATTGCAAAATTCCAAACAATTTTCTTCACTTTTTTAATTTATTTATTTGATATTTTTCAGTGTTCATTCTTTCAAGAGCATTGTTCAAGCGATATTCACATTCGAGAAATGAATATCTCTCTCGTGAAAAGAGTTAAATATTATCGAGTTAAATTAAATATTTATCAATGTAAATTATTTTTAAATAGCATGGTTACAGTGGTGCAGTTTTGGGGAGGGTTCGGAGGACAAAACCTCCTCGAAACTCCTCGAATTGATTTTTTGTAATTTAAACATTTGGATGAAAAATTTTATATATATAT